AGGAGGAGGGAGGAGGAGGAGGCGGAGGAGGAGTCTCCCTCGGGCATCGCCGGGGGGCGCCTCTCGGGTCTTGGCGCCTTCCTCGGCTCGACTCGACTCGTGGCGCGCGAAGGTTCACCCTGCAGCCACGCGCATCCTGCCCCGAGGCCCCCTCCAGGGGCCTCGGGGGGGGGGGGTAAGACATTTTCGTTGTCCTCCCTGAACCATCCCCTAAGCTCTCACCCAGCATCTTCCTCGCATCCCAGGCTAAAATCCCTGCCGCTCCGGCCCCTCGGGGCCGCGAAAGGCTCGCTGGCGTTCCCCTGGCATCGCTCGGACGTGTGCATTTTTCTCGGCGTGGACCATCGAGGACCATCCTGGACCATCGAGCAAAACAAAAAAACACGCACGAAACCGAAACATGCACGGGAAATGGACGTCCGAGCAACGGCAAGTTCCGGTCGACGCAGCAGTGCAGAGTTCGGCGTCGCTCCCCCCTCGAAGTCCTCCTCTTCCTCCTCCTTCCGCCACTCTCATGCCCTTTCCCCTCCTCTTCCCCTCCTCCTCCTCCTCCTCCTCCTCCTCCTCCTTCTCCTCCTCCTCCTCCTCCTCCTCCTCCCCCTCACCCCGGAAATCAGGAAAACGGTCAAAGACAGGTGCCGGGCAGAACAGTATGAAGACATTCATGGATTTCGATGACGTGGGCCTTCCTGGAATTTCCTGAGGGGAGCCTCCAGGACTCTTCATGGGCGCTTTGCAGGAGTCCTCTCGTTGCTTGTTGGTGGATTTATTCTGAAGGCTGTCGGGGCTCTCTGGACTCTGGACTTGCTACGGGAAGCTGGGGACTGCGTAAACTCGGCGGGGGACCTCTGTCCCGACTCTTGCGGCACGCTTCGTCCTCCAAGGGGCCGCGGATAGCCTCTGGACTGCTTCCGGTGGCCTCGGGATGGCTCTCGATAGCCTCGGATGGCCATTGAGTGGTCTCTGCTCGCCCTCTCTGTGCAAATGTTGGAAGCTTTTAAGACGCATGTGCGCGGCCCTAGTACACGAGCCACGTTCTGAAGCCGAGCTCCCCTCCATGCGTGTAGCCGGAACCTTTGAAGGCGAACGTGCGTGGAACCACGGCAAGAGCCACAGAGTGCAATTGTCGGAGACTTTTAAGGCGAACGTGGGTTGCGCCAGTGCGAGAGCGACGTGCTGAGCATGAGCTGCAGGCCATCCGTGTTGCTGTTGGAACGTTTGAAGTCGCCTGTGCTTGGCGCCGGGGCGAGAACCACATTTTGAGACACGATTCCCTACACGCGCGTAACATCCGGGAGCGTTTAAGGCGAGAGCGCGCGGCGCCTAGAGCGAGAGCCACATGTTGAACACGGCCCCCTTCATCAGCGTAGCTGATTGATTCCCTTGAGACTGAAGTGCGCGGCGTTGAGGCGGCAGCCACACCTTGGACACCCCCTCTCCATCTGTTCGCGAGCCAGTTGCACATGCCATGTCCGGGGTCATGCCAGGGGAGAGGGTCGCAGTCGACACGCCCAGCCCCCCCTGACGACACGTCGGGTGCCCAGGCAGAGGGGAGCTTTTTCGAAGGGAGCAGCTTCAGGATTGAGGAGGAGGATGCGGCGGGGGGTAGAGGAGATCGCCGTTCTCCCAATCATCCTCCAGCTCTTTCTCCTCCCTTGCCCTCCTCCCCATCAGCACCGTCCGCAGTTTCATACTCATTGCCAACAGCGACCCGACGCGGCCAAGCGTTTCACATGTCACAGGTCTCCACAGCCTCAGGACGCGAGCTACCGCGCGTGACGGCTCACTGTAAGCCGCCCCCTGTAAATGAGAAGGAGACGACCGTGCGGTTCTGCCGTCTTGAAGGCTTCTTCGGGGCCTGCTAAGGGTCGTTTCAAGCTTTTGCTTGCGTTTCGAGGGCCTCTTGGCAGCTCTTGGAGGCCTCTTGGGGGTCCACTGTGGTTCCTGAACGGCGTTTTTTTGTGCCCCTGGGGGCCTCTTGGGGCTATCTCGAAGGGAGAGGCACCTAGAGCCAGTTCGATTCCGCTCCCATGGGGCCATGTGATGGGTCCCTCTGATGGACCTCTGAGGCCGTCTTGGGGGGCCCTTGGGCCGTCCTCGGTCCCTCTCGGGTCGTGTTGGGGTCCTCTTGGGGGGCGTTTTGGTGGCTGCTCTTCGGGCGGTCTGCGGGGCCTCTTCGGCCGTGTTGGGCGCCCGAATCGTCGGACTGGCGGGGGCGAGGGCATCTGTTCAAGCAAAAAATATGGATGTGGGTGGTCCTCGTTAGATGTTTTTGGGCCGTCTTGATTGTTCATCGGGCCCTCGTGAAGCCATCTTGGGCCGACTCGAGGCCGCCTTGGGCCATCTTGGGGCAGTCTTCAACCGCTTGAGGGCCATACGCGGCAAGTTTGGCGCGCGTGGGAGTGTTGCTGGACCAGGTGAGTCTGCTGGCACTTTTGACCCCCCCCCGCCAGCACTCTTAGACCCACCACACCCCACATCGGCCTGACCGGGCGAGGGGTTTAGGAAGGGACAACGGTTCCATACACCGAAGAGCCCAAAGGGGTCGGTGAATTTCAGACGGGGCCTTCCAAAGAGATTGCAATATTGATTACTTCAGATTTGTCAAGCGACTCGATTGGCTCGCGCAAGTCCGGCTGGGTTACACCAGTCGCAAGGTTGTTGAATTTTTCCTTCTGTCGCAATCGCGACTAGCTTTCAAACCTTCAAGCTGGCAGGCGACGTTGCGTTGTGCTCCTCGGCGCAGGGAAGTTGATGGTTGTTACGGGGTCCGAGCTGGGTATTCCGCCTCGCTCAGGGCGGGGGAGCAGGCTGCTGCTGGTGCTTATGAAAGGGGAGGGCTGGTGCCCGCAGGCCGAACACTGCCCGCGCGCTCTCGTACACACAGGCCAGCGCTCCTTGATTTTCGACTACACGTAAGAGTAACCTTTCGCCGGAGTGACCTTTGGTGCGGGTTCATCGGGCTCCCCCCGATCGCCGAGCGCGATGCGATATAAGCGGCCCGCGCCTTTGGATTTTGGCTCCCTAGCGCCCCCAAAAGCTTCGCACCAAAGGTCATTCTTACCCAGGGTCACTCTTACGCCTAGCCGAGACTTGCAGTGCAGGAAGGGAGAGGGCTGGACGATGCCAGGAGTGAAGACGCATAGTAGCTGCCGCGCGGCGAGTCTCCCTGGAGTGCTCTACGGGCGCCGAGGCCGCCCCAGAGTCGGGAGCATCGCCATGCCCTCCCTCTTTTTGGTTTTTGTGTTGGTTCTGGTTGAAGGTTTTGGAGTATGTTGTCTTTGATGGACGCTTTGTCTTCCCTCCCTTGTCAAGTGTTTGTAATAGTTCTTCTAAGCCTGATATTTTCATGAAGGCCGATCTTGAGTGCGTGGGGGAGGGCGGGGGCGGAAACTGTCTCTACCAACCTCTCGTTTTCTGCCATTGTCGCGCCTGGGACAGCGAGCATTGGTAGGGCAACCAGCCGGAATCAGACCCCTACCCCTGAGATTGACATTGCCTGGTCTCGGTTCCGATCGCAAAGGGTCCCCCCAGTGCCTGAGGGCTGCCGACCTCAAGGACTGCCGACATCCAGGATTCCCTTACACCCCTGGGATTGTCCTCGCCTCGGGCTTGTCAGTCTTACAGTGAGGGGTGAGCGCAGGGCCCGTGTTTGCCTTGCGGATACAAATCGGGCCTCGGGCGGCTGTTCGGGACGTCTCCGGCGTCCTTGGAACGCTTTCGACGAGTTGCAGCTTTGATGGACGCTTTCCCACTACAGGTCGGACGATATTCATTACTGACTGTGAGACTTGGTTCAAGGGATGCACAAACAAGAAGTACCTGAATCCTTCAGGTGCTGATGCTGATATATATATATATATATATATATATATATATAGATGGGCTCTCATTGCTTTCCTGCTGCGTGCAGGGGGTCAAGTTTGATCCAAGTGATCTTCTTCAAACTTTTATCTGGGAGGGGGAGATGTTGTGAATGGGGTGGCGCCGCTGTGGCAGATCCAGGGCAGCGCCGCCATCGACATGCTGGTGGGGAAAGCGGCTCTCCAGGTTCGTCTGTCCAGTGGGGCTCGTCACTCAGTTCGGGACATTGAGCAGCAGGCCTTCCTGGCCCGACACTGGCCCCTGAGGGCCACGTTGGACATTTTCCAGCCAGGACAGGCTGCCCCAGGAGGAATGAGGCGTCTCGTCCTCGTCTCCCTCCCTTTCCTGCTAACTGCTAGTTGGGTAAATCTGAATTTCGCCACCAGCCACTCCTTAGACGACGGTGGCCAGGATGCCTCCGATGTTCCAGATGTGCTACCAAGGCCAAGCTTGGCCAATGGAAGGCCAGTCCCTGCTTCCAGCCCTCGAATCGTGCTTGTCGGTATTTCGCGTTGACTTCGAGTGGTCGGGTCCATTTAGAGGGGGGCTGGGTCCGTTACAGTCATAGGACGCATCTGTATACTAAGCGGAGGTTGTGGTCTTGCAAGGTGTCCGCCTCCTTTTCCAACAAGAAAGCCAGCAAGCTCATTAAACCACGTAAGATACGAGCCACGCTGACAGGCGTTGAGCATTTGAGCAGGATCGGCCGAGGCTTCTGAACCAACGCCCTCAGTCGGTGTGAGCAGGCGGCCCTACAGGGGTCGTTCAGGTGCTCCCCTTTCCAGGTGTAAGGCTCCCTTTTTGCTTTCTCTTTTCTAGCTTAGTGGGCTGCGACATTCTATTCCATTCGATTTCTTTCCATTGTATTTCATTCCATTCAACTCCGTTCCAGTCCATTGTCCTCTCCATTCGCTTCTTGTCCCTTTCCCCCCATTGTCATCATCGGCTTGTTCCCGCCAGCCGCGGCTCGCCCGGCGCGCTGTCCGCAGGTGATGTCACTGACCCGGGAGGATTTCGGGCAGGTGTGCAAGGACCACCCCGAGAATCGGGAACAGCTGCGCAGGCCGCTGCCTTTTTGTTCCTTTTTTTTTTTCGTTATATATAATGTACATACATGTATGTATATATATATATATATACATATATGTGTATATGCATGCAAATGCACATGGTCAACAGTTCGCGCGGACTTTTTGGAGCGGCTCTGGGGCCCCCCGTGCGGCGACTCCGGCGCCACCCTTGGCGCGCTCCGGCCGCCCGGCAGAGATGCAGGACCGATCCACGAAGTCCGCGCGGAGTTCCGAATGCTTTTCTTTCTGCTTTTATGCCGTTCGCTATCCTCGAGTTTCCTCTTTGCACGCGAAGGGAGAGGGGGTCTTGAGGGACATTTGCACCCTGAGGCTTCTCGGCGCTTTCGGGTTCCCTGGGGTCGTTGCTGGGCCTTGCGTGGCCTTGGGCCTTGTGAGCACGACCCAGCATGGTTCTGGGTCGACGATGCACAGTGGGGCCATCACCGTGGGGGATTCGATGATTGCAGGAAAGTGGCCGTAAGGGGTCCCTGAAGCGCCAACGCGGGCCCACAATGCGCAAGAAATGTGCGCGCTCGTTCAACCCACATTTATGGGTGGTCGCTTACGAACGCCCAGAAGCTCGGGGGTCAGGACCCGTTTCCGCCAGGGCCTGTTTTTTGTTCGTGCCCGTCTCTCTGCGATCGCACAGCGGCAGTTGTGCACCAAGAGAGTGCGACGCAATGGCGGCGGGAAAAGGAAGAGGCGATGTTCCTCCTCCGCCTCCTCCACGCCCCATCCTCATGCGCAACAGTTCCTCGTCGCACCGCCAGACGTGTCGGTGGCGCGGTGGGGCGGGCTGGGCGTTTCCCCGCGGTTTCTTCACCGCTCACAGTCTTGGAGCTTGAAGTCTCCATGGGCTAGTGCAAGGTTGGAGGGTGAAGCGTTTTCAAGATGTGGCTCCCGCGTTGGCGCCGCGACCATGCCTGCTGCAAGCTTCCAGCAACTGTAGGCATGGACGGCGCATCGTGTTCAAACATGTGTTTGCGTTTAGCGCCGCGCACATCTGGGTCATAGATGATTGAAAATGGTTGAAGGGGGACATGTTTTAACACATGCTTCCCGCCGCGCAGTCAACCAGTACGGTGAAATGACGAACTCTCTGGGGACGGGGGGAGTTGCCGTCTTTCAGGTCCTTCCATGGTTGCTCCTCTAGCGCCATTCGTGCACGTAAACGCCGTCTGGGTATGAATCCGTTCGTCCCTCATGCGTCGTGGCTTGTAGTATAGCACGATGACTATGACGCCGCTATCGTTCGTCTTGGAGTTCCCAGCAACTACCGAAGCTTTGAGGCGGCCGCGCCTTGACGCCTTTAGCGCCGCGCATTTTGTGATAGAAGTTTCCGGCAACTGCAGCGATCGAGCGTGATTGAATGTTTCAATGTCGTTTGTCGTTGAGCGCCAGGCGCATCCGTGTTACAATCTTCCCGCAGCAGCCAGGATGGAGGGAGGCTCGTTTTCAAGCTCTGGCTCCCATCAGCGCCGTGCTTGTTCGTCTTTACGCTTCCACCTGCTGTATAAGGATGGAGGGCGCGCCATTTTCAGAGTGTGGCTCTCGCTCTGAAGCCCTGCGGGTGCCCTCGGGGCAGCCAGTGGCCGGTCCCGACTTTCTCCCCCCCCCTCCTCTTCCCCGTTCCTTCCGGGCATGCGGCGACGTGAACCGAACAGGCGCGGTAGCACAAAAGACACTGCCAGAGCTCTCGCTCCGTCTGTCAGGCAGTTGTGAAGCGCCTTGGCTTGCCTATAGGGCCACCAGAGAATGTGCTGAGAACCCTCTGTGGCTCGCACGAAACGCTCTTGCAACATTTCTGGCTGAGACTGCCTCGTTTCGATGCACCAGGCTCGCGTTCTAAGATCCGACTGGTTTTGTTCTCAGAACCTCTGGTTCTGAGAGCCCTTCGTGGTGGCCCCATAAGAGTGCCGGGACGGTCGGTCCCTGGTCAGATCTTCAACTTTGGCTCTTCGTACCCGACGGGCCTCGGGGCCTGGAGCTCGCCGAGATCGCCCGCGGCGACCTCTTCGCACGACGCCCGTGGACCTTTCCCCGTGCTTTCGGGCCCTCCCCCTGCCGGCGGCGGCGGAGGGCACGCGCCCGTGGCTGCCGAGCGCAGTCGGAGGGCACCCGTCGTGCCCGCCAGTCGTTGAAGGCAGGCATGTCTGACTCCCCAGATCCCAATCCTCTTTCAGACGCCTCTCTGCTTCGGGAGTCGAGTGGCATGTTCCCTCTCCCCTCCTCCTCGGGGGGGCGGGCGGGAGCCCAGCCTGCTTCCGACGCCCTCTTGGTTCATGCTTCCTACCCGCCTCTTCCCACCCCACCCGGTCCTGGCCGGGCCGACCCCGGGCACAGGCTCGGTGCAATACCCTGATTCGGTGCCCTGCTGCACCCGTGTCTGCAGCGCGGCACGTGCCGGGCTCGGAGCGTCTCTGTGTTCATACGCGGCGTGCTGGCTGGACGTGCGGGCCCCCGTGTTTTTTCGCCAACGTGCCGCGCCACAAACGTGCGTTTTCACCATGCGTGCTGAGTTCTGTGAATTCGAGCTGTGCGTAGCCCGCCTCAGCTTTTAGCGGAAGAGGTTCGCTCTCGCCCCGCCGACCAAAAAAGTGTTGAGTTCTGGGTCAGCGCGCTACGCGTCGTGCGTCGCGCATCCGGGCAGCTGAGGTACATGCGCCGTCGTGCCCGAGCGCCCACGCCACAACAGGGCGCGTACTGGGCGGGGCCAGGGCGGAAATAGATCGCTTCGGATGGTTCTGGAACGCTCTCAGAGCGTTCGGGAGCGCTCTGGAACCGCCGCGGCGCCTGATACATTTTCCAGAGCCAGCAGACCTCAAAGCTCCCCGAGTTATCCCGGTCCGATTCTGACCAGGTCTCGGCTTCGTCTGCGTATATTCACCGATCTGGGGTCCAGGATGCGTCCGGTAAGGGTCGATGCAGGTGTGTGCATTTGGCGCCCTCCCACCGGAAATATCCTCCGCAGTATCGGACAACATGTTGGCAGTCGAGAGTGGCACGCCCTCTTCGGCCCCCTTCTCACTGATTGGGTTTCAATGTAGAGCGAGCATCGGGGAGAGCAGACGTACGTCTGTATGCAATGTCGCATATTGCCGATCCGCGTTGCGGATGAAGTGCAGACCCGCGCGACGGCGCACAATCAAGCCAGCCGTTCGATGCACGCAGACGCCGCGGGCAGTATTGTGAGGACCCCACCCCTGCACATGCGCAGTTGGCTAGAAGCGGACGCCACGTCGGTCGGCATGTGGGAAAGGGGCCCAGAGAACCAACATTGCTCAGGCAAGTGGGGGGAGCGAGCCCAGGAGCCAGTCTTCGAGAGGGCCACGCGACGAGGCTTTCTCGCCCGGCCCCGCCCAGTGGCGGCGATCCTCTGCGCAGCAGCGGGCAGCAGGTTGGCAGCCGAGGGCGCGGCATGTCCCCGCGCACGTCAGATGCCCTGGTCTGCCTCCGCCTCCGCCTCCACCTCCGCCTCCTCCTCCTCCTCCTCCACCTCCTCCTCCTCCTCCTTCTCCTCCTCCTCCTCCTCCTCACGGCCCCAGGACAGGGGCCGAAGAGGGCGTGCTGCCCTCGACTGCCAGCCTGCTGTCCGCCTCTGCGCAGAGGATCTTCGCGGTGGGGGGGCGCCAGGTGACGTTGGCACGAGGCTTGAGAGCACTCGTAGCTCTGGGAGGGGTAGCTGCCCTGATGTTTTTCGCTGGTGGGCTCTCCCTCTCGGAGTGCTCTTCCTTGTGGATCTCTGCATGGTGCCCTGGGTTCTCGGCGAGGGGGCCCATGCTCTCGACCCACGTCCTCCTGACCCCGCTCCGACTGCAAGCGCACCTGCACCGACTCTGACCAGGCGCACTCTGGGCCCTTGATCGGTGCGCACGCAGGCGAGGCCGGGACCAGGACAACGGCGGACCAGGATGACTCGAGGATCTGAGATCTTGCGGCTCTGGCGGATCTGTTCAGGGGGGCCCAGAGGACGGCCCCCAGGTTCACGACGTGGGGTCAAAGGGCGCTGGCGCCGAACAAGAACAAGTATCCTGGCGAAGGACCCAACCATGTTCAATTATCAGTATCTCAAGGAAGGTGGGACCCTGCCCCTGGGGGCTTCGGTGGAGCTCCCTAAGGCGCTAGGACGGGTGTGAGGGGTGTGCCAAGTTGAGCGTCGGGCGCATGCGGACACTGCCACTGGGGCCTTCGGTGGAGCTGTCTACGGAGCCACGAACCGTGTGAGGGGTGTGCCGAATCGGGCGTCGGGCGCATGCGGACACTGCCACTGGGGCCTTCGGTGGAGCTCTCTATGGGGCCATGAACCGTGTGATGGGTGTAACCAATTGGGCGTCGGGCGCATGCGGACCCTACCACTGTGGCCTTCGGTGGAGCTCTCTAAGTGTCCACGAACCGTGTGAGGGGTGTGACAAAATGGGCGTCGGGCGCATGCGGACCCTGCCACTGGGGCCTTCGGTGGAGCTCCCTATGTGGCCACGAACTGTGTGAGGGGTGCGCCGAGTTGGGCGTCGGGCGCTTGTGGACCATGCCACTGGAGCCTTCGGTGGAGCTCCGTATGGGGCCACGAACCGTGTGACCTGTGTGTGTGTGTCGAAATTGGCGTCGGGCGCATGCGGATCCTTCCACTGGCGGCCTTCGGTAGAGCTCCCTATGGGGCCATCGCGATAGCGGTGGTGATGCGGATGATGATGATGATGATGATGATGATGATGATGATGATGATGATGATGATGTTGATGATGATGATGATGATGATGATGATGCTGATGATGATGATGAACATGCTGATGATGATGATCATGATGAATCATGATGATGATGATGATGATGATGAATGATGGTGAATGATGATGATGATGATGATGATGATGATGATGATGGTGGTGGTGGTGGTGGTGGTGGTGGTGGTGATGGTGATGGTCATGGTGATGGTGATGGTGATGATAATGATGATGATGATGATGATGATGATGATGATGATGATGATGATGAT